CATCATCATCTTCTTTATCCTACTCCCGTAAGGTCGCCGTAGCAGGTTTTTGCCCACCACATAACTCTATCATACGTCATCTCAGTCATCACTCCCTTCTTATCACGTTTAACGCAATCCATCCATCCCTTTCTAGGTTTTTGGAAAACAATTGGAAAAATGAAAAACTACATGCGATGATCTGAGTGTATGAGTGAATTCCAGTTTAGGTTTACATTTTTCCAGTAATCCAGCGCTGAATTCGATCGTTGGATTGGAATAAAGTGTACAATTGCTAAAGACTTCCTCTTTAGCAATCCTTACTTACCATGTCAGGGTCATTCCAATGTCCAGGTCCTGCGTGCTTCACCAGCTCGTCCTGGTTGTCCCCGAACCACTTCATGATGCTTTTCACCGACGTCCAGGAGTCATCGATATCACCCCAGTTACGCCACAAGTTACAATGTCTTTCAATCGAATCGTAGTTAGGCTGCAATTAAATGTTCATACAGAATTATTTAAAAGTTTAAAATCAACAAATTTTCTTCTACTTTCTGGGTAATATTTTTTCTCCCTATTATGCTTGTACGAGTAAGTATAACTATACTCTAAATTACAATTCTAGCAATAATTTAGTATTGTGTATTTTTTGCAAAATATTATGCATTCATAAATATTAACTTTAACGAACTATGACCTAACGTAACATTCTTTTTTCTTCCCAGCTATTGTGTATTGTCTTTGTTTAAATAATACATACTTTATCCTGGTACGCCGGCCAACTGCATGAATACAGCATAGGACGTCCAGTTTCATTCAGTAATTTCCCGAAAGCGGGATAACCTAAAATAATGGGATAACCATACGATTACATCATTAAGTATTTAACTTAAGATAATTAAAATGAAAGGTAGTATTTTTTGTCGGCATTGACATTTGAATTGGGCGAAAAAGCCAAGCGTCCGCTGCCCATAGACATCCGCAATTGCAGATGCGTGCCTACCCTTAATCTTGAAGACGAACGTAAAGCACATATTTCCCGTTCCTATGTATCTCTTCACATTTTTTTACCTGTATCCATTTTAGTAGTGTTAACATAGCATCCATCCAGTTTCACGTAGTCTACATCCCATTCGGCGAAGGTTTTGACATCAATCTCCTCGTAGCCCAGCACACCTGGGTACCCAGCGCACGTTTTCGTACCGTAATCCTGGTATATCCCGAACTGTAGGCCTCGATCATGGACCTAGGTTCAACAAGATCACTTATGCTTTGTTTCAGTTTCAAAACATCTAGATACTCTAAAAGTATGATAAAACAAAAATTATATGGTCTAATGCCAAGGCTATAAGGCTATTTTTTGCAAAAAGTAATAAACACTTTTAAAGAATACAACATGACAAATATTTTGACGAAAAATATAAAATTTAACTCAACGAAAAATCACAGGCGCTTTCTATTTTCTTTTACATCAAGAAAACTAATATACTATAAAAACTAAAGTAATAAAGTAAAGTTTTCAATTTAAAATCAAGAAAGTATTCCGATTTTTCAAAAATGTATGAGCAATATTAACCGTAAAATATAACATAAACTTATGATTGTTGTATAAAATATTTTTTTCCAAGCGCCTGTCAGTCGAATACTCACATAATCCGCAAGCGCTTTCATGCCGCTCGGAAAACGATGTCGATCGGCCACCATGCGATTATTGGCGTCGCGTTTATTCTCCAGCCAGCAGTCGTCTATGGCTATGTAGTTATAGCCAGCATCGAGATACCCTTCCTTCACCATGATATCAGAAGTACGTTTTATTAACGCTTCGCTGCAATTTGTAAGAAATTTTAATTAACCGAATTCAAAAATGGGATGTTTTTACATATTTATTAATTAAATATTAAAACGTTTTATTTTAACTAATTAATATTACTAATAATATGAATGCAAAGTATAGATGGATGGATGTTTCTTAGAGTTTGTAGCCGAAACTGCTGAACGATTCTCGATGAAATTTGGCATTAATGTAGAATACAGGTTGAACACATAGATTACTTTTAATTATGTTTTTTTTTACTCAACGCGAAAGGATTCGCTGGCGAAAGCTAGTTAATTATAAAAACCAATCATTATTAAAAAAATGTAAAAACCTTTTAATTTTTTACAAAGGAATATTTTTCACAATGAAAATTATAATTGTATTAAAAATTATACCGTCGTTTTTTCACGATTATTCGTTTAATATCAATGCTACACGTAATAACTCGGTTTATCTTTTCACAGCTATAATAAAATAAGCGTTAATATTTACCTTATACATTCTTTAGGATACTTCTTGCAGTCTGTGATGCATCTAAACCTTTCCCAAGTTAGCCAGCCCATGGGCGGCGTCAGAGCCAACCCGTTGTTCAGCGAGAGACATGAAGGTAATAACCCAAGAAATACACACCACAGTACCTTTAATAAATAATAACAGGAAATTGTCAATTTTCACTTAACTTTCATGTTTTATGTTAAACTAGCTTTCGCCCGCGACTCCGTCCGCGCGGAATTAAAAATAACAAAAGTAGCCTATGTGTTCTTCCAGACTATCCTGTACATCTATGCCAAATTTCATCGAAACCCGTTCTGCCGTTTAGGCTACAAACTCAGACAAACATCCACCCATCCATCCATCATTAGTATGAAGTATGACATGGAGTGTGATTAAAATAAAATTAACTAACTACGCACAAATAAATGTTAAAATTTTTATATGTTCTGTGTTTTTATTACTATTTTGTGAATGTTCATGACTTTATACTTTATTTAGCGATTAAAAAATCACGAATGTTTTAACATTCTGAATCAGTTCATATTTTAATCAAAAGTAGACAGTAACATCTATGGATTGATAATTGATGATTTTTCTCTAATTGTAATAACTATAACTAAAATAATATTAAAACAGTGAAAGTTACTGGGATGAACAGAGATTGCAAGCGTTTCATCCCTAAAAATACGAACCAGATTCAAAGAAACACATTTGAGGCTTTGTATGCGATTTTACTTCATACTCTAAAATACTGACCAAGTTCAAAAAAAAGTTAAGAAAAATAAAAACGTGACTTCGAAATCAATAAAAAACTAGGAATATTGTCAATTGAGAACATTTTGTATTCATTTTGTAATTGGTAAGTACTCACTTTCATTGTTGCTTTACTTGTAATTATTATTTTATTAACACTTACAGCTAACGTTTTCAAAGGCAACGTACGATGCCTATGCGGTGTTAATATTCCCCCGAAGGTTTTATATTAATAGGTTGCAGTGTAGAGTGCTGATAAGCCCATTGTAGCAATGGCACTGCACAGCGGGCAGTTATCTAGCGCTAAGGGTGGTCTTCCACTAAAGATTAGTAACTACATAAAATAAAAATTTAAACTAGAAGTTTTTATTTTTAGATATAGACATGCAAATGAAAATTTAACAAATATTTTACGTGTTTTTTATTCGCGTTAATTCGTAACGGGTTCTTTTTATAATTTGTAATTAAAAAGATTTATTTAATAGTTTGTTCGCATCATTGAAAACGTACCCTAACATGCATTTTATCAGCAAAAATAAACATTGTTAAAATAGTTCAATATAAAGGTTTAGATACCGTAAATTCGTATTAAATAATGCTTTATCTTTGAAATAGTATGTAGTCGTAAATTCTATTTTACCAACATACATAAATGAATATTAGATCGTTTCTTTTTTAACAACTGTTAATGAGTGATGATGAGAGCAAAAAACTGCCCAAAATAACAATCTGTTTCCTTCAGTCTTAATGAATATTGCTGATAAATTAACGTCAGTAAAAAGATTGTTGTAATTTAACATTTTCAATCACAACGATAAGTCGGTAATCAAATTCAAAATAAACAAAGAAACGTCACTCATTAAAAGTCGGATATGACGAAATCGTGCGATAAAGTGAAATGGATTTGTGTAATTTATATAAAAATTACGAAGTTAAATCAAAAGATATTGCTTTCAAATTGGAATTATGTATAAAACATCTATCTTATAAACATACGAACGAATTTCCGAGACAAAGAGGTATGTACTACAATCGTTTGAACGTTTAATTGCGGCTTTACTTGAATTAAGTATTTATTTAATAAAACACAGTATACAGAGTGTATCATAATTTATTATACACGTTCAAAAATGTTTGGTATGACACCACGATGTCGACTGACCGCTATATAAGCAAGGAAAGTGACTTAATGACTTGTCGAGTAAGCAAACGAAGCTAAACAGAGCATGGGATAAACGCTTTCTTTGCGTTTCCACACTTCCATAGTTCATGTTAAAATTTCTGCGGAATTAAGATACGGCAGTTAATCTACAGTTTTTATAGATTATATAACGATTATCCTTTTGAATGATTAATGAAACTTTTTTGTAGACTATGTTTATTATCCGAAAAGACGTAGGTTCTAAATTCGTCTGTATTTTTTATGTCTACTTATGTGGTATGTTACTCACTGAGAACTTGAATTTCAATTTCAATACATACAAATCAATCCTCTTTACAAAATTAGGATAGAAATAAGCTTGGTTCAGGTACTCCAGTAATAATTGTAATAAAATAAAAAAAACCGTGTTGAAGTTGTACAAATATTAGTTCAAAAATGTATTTAGTTCATCCCTGAGCCCCCATAGCGTTGGGATGTCGTCATTGATTACTGAATACCACAGGCAGGTGACAAAAACCATTCCATTACCATAAATTTCAATTTCAATAATGTTTAGGGAACTTTCAGTGCGATAGAGCATATCCTAAGCACTTAATTTAACTAGTACAAGCAAATCTATTTACGATATAAATGTTAGTTTCAAACTTTATGTTGCACTAGCTTTCGCCCGCGATTCCGTCCGCGTAGAAATAAGAAAATAGCAAATAGCCTATGTGTGCTTCCAGAGTATCGAGAGTTTAGTAGTATAGGCTACAAACTCTAACAAACATCCATGCATCTAAACTTTGGCTTTTATTATATTAATATGATTAGGTTTTCGTAAACTTTGCAGGGTATAAAATTATATCCAGGTTTTAGTTGATTTTTATGGATTAATATTACTTTTATAAATAAAGCCCATCACAGACTACTCACTTATAACTGACAAATTTAACTAAACAGAATAATTTGACTGTTTAGATATTTTAAACCGGTTTAACAGTTTTTCTAAATCACTGTGGTGGAAGTAGTGACATGACTTTATTAATTACGCGTAACTTTACTCTATCTTAACCTTACTCTAGTAATAATATATCTTTCTCTAGTAATAATGTATGTTCTGATAGATATATCGGTCAATTTATATCAGAACCTGACAAAAATATTGCGTAAATATCGTATCTTACTTTATACTTCCTCTTTCAAGACTACCCACGTCTTAATTTAATGGATGTCGGCAATTTGATTTTAACTATTGTTATTTAAAAGTTTCGTATTAACATGTCACGATAATGATTTACTAAAGAGTTTTTGACTTTCAAATTACCGACGCCAAAGCTGCGACAAAGCGGTAAAAGTTGTGTTGGCGTTAGAATTACAATCAAACAATAACGTTCGAATCTGGTCTGGAAATCATTGAATATGTGTATAAAAAAATAGTGCTATCTCTGGTTTTAAACAGGGGATTTGTTTCTTTTTTTTTCAGGGTTTTCAGTAATAGAAACCGTCGTTATGCCAGATTAAATTCAAAATACATAAAAATGAAAATAAACATTAAATCGCACGTTGTAATTATGTGATACAAATATACATTTTTATAGAAGTATTTCGAAATCTAACACAAAAAATAATCTCACTGGCCAGAAATATCAAAACATTCGCGGATTTCTTTCTTTGCAATCATTCGAAAGTGATGTAATAGATAATCCGATTAAAGCGTTCCCAGATCCGAATTGATTTATTCTTGGTTAAACTATATATCATAACAATTTAAAAAGTTTAAAACGAAAAAAGCAGGTGCTTATTCTCGGCAGTTTGAAGCAGATGTGATATTCCAATCAACTAAAAGTCACCTTCACAGAACTGTTACAATACAAAACCTGTCCAGACAACCTGAGTTTTATCATTCGCAGTATTTTTTCACTTGTACTGCATCGAAAAAAAAAAACAACGCCAATGAGTCAAATCTTGCATCACATTAACACGTTATTTAAGATTGCTTATATAAAGTTTACGCTCCATTCTAAAAAAAATGTTGAGGAAACTTCCTTAATCGGTAGAATACCAAGTTTTAGTGTTATATTTTTAAATTTTTGTTTAAATTGTGGATGTTAAGGTAAATGATTTATATTTATTTACATTTTCCTTGTTCCGAAGAGAAAACACACCACGTATTTCGATTTTTTTTTATTAATTTATGCGCATAATCGACCTTGATATATTGTAATACAACTATTTTATCGCCTACACTTTATTATTAATTTGCGTAGGCTTTCATCGTACACTATTTCATAACATGATAACGGAAATATCGCCTAAGGCACGGGAAATATGGGGGCGCATGGCGCCAAATAGTCAAAATACTTGACATAAAACCTTATTTCAATATTATTCATTAAAGTTTCTGAATATTTTTCGTAAGAAATATAGTGTTTTAACTGTTTTTAAACCTGAGTCTGCTGAGATTAATGCCAGAAGTTTTTTTTTTTAATATTGGTTATATCGTGGACTGGAGCTATTCGTGTCCTTTTAAATGTATTTATTAAAAAGAAGTAAGGATTACTAAAGTACCTATTTTGAATCAACAATTCCTGTTTTCCTGCAGTTACATTACAGCAATGACTGATCTCATAGGTAAGTTTTCGAAGTAGCATTCGTCGTTACATTAAAACACAATAAATTGAGAATATTTCTTAGATATAAGTTAAAAAAACATCTCCTCAAGATTTAATTCATTTAATACCGACAAAACTATTTCACAACTTATTGTAAACACGCTCAGAGTATATTAACTAAAGTAAACGCATAAAAGCAACAGTTGCTTTAGAGTTATGCGCTACAGTCGTCCGTGGAACGGAACGTAGCCGCGCCAAACGTAAACAAAGAAAATCAGAAGCGTGACGTTAATTTGAAAATTTACATAAAAAACAAGTGAAGTTTTAACTGAGAGTTGTGTTAGTTTTAATTATTTATACGTTACCTTATATAGTGATAATAAGAACTTTCATAATCTAAAAATAACTGTGATATTGCCAACGGAAGTCCTACAGGAAATGGGGACCGACGATTCGCACACCCGGTGATTTCTAATGTAGTTCGCTTTGAGGAGGACCATGGGTGCAACGTATAAGCAGTTGTTTAAATTATACGATTTAATTCAAAGTAGTGATATTAGGTACATTAATCTTACTTAATATTTCATTGAAAATTATGCATTTTGGAGATTGCACAACTATCCTTTAAAACAATACGTGCGTAGGAGTAGATTTCGAAACGCCTTCGCGCAATAATTTTTTTGTAAAAACCTAAAACTTTAATTATCTAGTATTATAATGTAGTCATTTGAATTTTTTTTTCAGAACAATTAAACAGTTTCTCGAAAATGAATCCATAGAAATTAACGATATTTTACCATGTAAAGGTATAGGAATTTTACACTTAGCTGTAGGAATAGATCCTGTGGAAAAATCTAAAGAGTGCACGGAAATAATATTAAAACATGGAGGAAATCCGAATTTGTGGTAAGAATTTATTGATATTAATATTTTATGTAAATATTTTTTCACATTGGCATTTTAATTTTTTTTTATCCTATTGGACTATGTTTTAACACATTATATAAAAATAAAATACTGCACATACTGCACACACAGGTTAATTACTACACAATAATAAAACGAAAGTACCCTATTTTTCTATTTTTTTTTTACTCTGAATGTGTTAAAGGTATTAATGAACAACTATAATTTCATTTTAATCTCAAATTAATATTAAAACAGTTTACTATTAGAATCCATACTGTCACAAAATCAGTGTTGTGTATAATTTTTCAATTTAAGATTTCTCCTACATACAGCGACCAAATAAGATGCTTTCATTAAATCATATAAAAATATTACATTAATCTCTAGTGTATTAAAATATGGCCTAGTCACCCCTTATTAGGGTAGGCTCCGAACCCCTCGGTGGGGATGTATAGTGAGCTGGTGATGTGTGTATTAAAATATGTGTATTACTTTTCTATAGTTTTTGGCAAAACATTTTATACAACTAATAAATTGTACAATGTAAATGTCACAGATTAATACATTGAAATCAACTTTTCACCAAATCTAATTTAAGCTCTAAAAATAAATGTCTCCCACTGAGTGACTTCTAGTCATGGGTAAATCAAGTAACAGGCCCTGTCAATCAGCTCACTGTTCACATGGTGGATTTAGTAAACTGGCTCTCAGATCAGCTTACTTTGTACCTGCATAGAGGCTTGATGTTTGAATCATGAAGATGTTCCCGGTGTGTCAATTCCTATAGCAGTGGTACATTACATTGAGCCGTGATATGCTAATTTAGTTGTTCAGCCGCAGCTCAACAATTCAAAGCTATGTGATCTGATTTTTTGGACCAGTTCAGAGCTAATTTACACATAGCTTGGGCCTAATTAGCTCTAGGTATTAAAAACATTAAACTGGTTTATCAGCCTACATTAAATAATTTGAGGAAAACAACAGTTTCTTATAGAACAGATATTTTAAATTTGGGAATTCCCCATTATGTAATCAATCTGTACCATGTATTTTTTTTAATTAAATTAGGAATTTTAGACACCTTCGACCTCTAGATAAGATACCAAAAATTACCCACAATTCTGGAAACTTCTCTTCCTACATGACATTAGTAAAAATGTGTTATTTGATGTCACTTAAATTGGTTATATAAAGTACTAGCTTTCACCCCTGACTTTGTGATGAAATAAAAATAAACTTACTAAGTATGCTATAGTTCTTCCTGTAGCTTCTATATGCATGCATCATCCATCCATCCAAACATTCTCATTTAGTAATAGTGATGTACTTAAATTCCAACTATTAAATCATACAATGCTAGCAGGAAAGGTCAATTGACCCACATTAAGTCAACTAATACTTAATTTCCTCTTGTGCAATTATTTAGCAAGAAGCAGGAAACAACTGATCATGCTTAATACAATTTTATTGCATCATAATTTCTTTTTAAACACAACTGTCTCTCTCCAATGTATAGCTAGCAGGAATGTGAAATTGTTGTCCCGGGATTGCTTCAAAGAGACTCATTATACACAAAGAAATTAGTTTCATATATTCATTATGTTTTATGTTTCTGGTCAGACTATTTTGTTAACCATAAACATAATTAAGGTTTTTGTAAGCCTACACAATAACATTTTGTGTGGGTATACTTAATTTTCTTATATGCAAATTTATATGTGTGGGCGACACTTTAAACCTCCAAATCTGATTTGATTGATCAAGGTGTATTTATTAGAATTATATTTGTTAAACTATTGCATATTGTTTTGTCTTATTGAAATTATGTGTTCCATTATCATAGAAGTTTAAAATTGGCTCAGTACTTTTTGAGTTATTTATTTCAATACATACAAAAATACAAATCTTTCCTCTTTATTATATTATTATCAATCTACAGGATAATTTCCTTTTGAATACAAAAGAAAAGTCTTCTTACATTCAAATTTATAATATTAAATTATTTTTAATGTTTAGCAATGAAGATGGCATCACTCCGGTGCATATTGCTGCAATTTGGGGTAGACTGGATAACCTGAAGCTGCTGATTGGCTGCGGAGGTGAACCTTCACTGCGAGACTTAGACGGTCTGTCTGCATTTGATTATGCGGTTAGAGAACAGCAATGGGAGGTGTATGACTATCTACATAATGTAGAGGACCACTTGGATGACTCTATAATGTCTTCCTGTGCTTATTCATTAGATTTAGGTAAGTTTTTTATTGTATTTTAGGAACTTGAAAACTATTACTAAAATTCTGAAATGGTTTAAGTATTAAATGATTTTTACCACAAGTATAATGAAATTGAATTTTTCAGTTTTGTTTAATACATTTTGTTACGTAAAAGAGGTACTTTTGTAATAAAATATCTTTATACTCTTTAATAATTTCCCTTCCTTTGTTTAAAAAGTAACTAATTTAATAAGAAGATATGTCTTCTATCTGTTTTGTTACTAATAATGCACACTGCAACTCATTGGAAATAAGTTACTCTACGATTAACATTTTTACGAAAGCGCTTTTTTTGATCTATATAGAAATCTAGATAATTATCCCACTTATTAGTGACATACCAATTATCCCAATTTCAAATACAATCTTATCACAAATTAAAACAAATTGGAGTTGTTAAGATCAATAACAGTTTGTATAATCTTAAGTGGTTAACAGTGGCGTACAGTGACACCGGCCATGGCAGGTGCATCATACAATTGACCTACAAAGGCTAATTCAATATTAAGATTGAAATCCATGAGTCATACTTCAATTGCATTAAGTATTTAAGTACCTCTCTCGTATATCTGCTCAAAAGATTATTTAACGACATTTTCGATAGGCCTTTGTCTGTCGCCGTCTTATTGTGAATTTCATCAGTTTATGATCAGTCTAGATATTATAGACGATGTAACGTTTAATCCCATGGAAATTTGGTTTTTATAAGTACCTGTTTTAACAATTTATGTTAGTGTAAAAATGTCAGATTAGATTTTTACAAAATCTGGTTTTCTAATGTTAGAGTAAACGTAAAAAAAACACAGTACACTAATGCTTTAATCGTACTAATATTATATATTTCTCCCGCGACTCCGTCCGTGGTATTAAAAAAAACAAAACTGAGTAGTTTCTATTCTTCCAGATTATCCTCTACAACTATACCAAATTTCATCGAAATCAGTTCAGCCGTTTAGGCTACAAAATCTAACAAACATCCATCCATCTAAATAGTAATTAGAATGATAGAGAAGATTGAATTTAGTGTTTGTAGCCTAAACTGCTGAACAGATGTCATGAAATTTGGCATAGTGAGGATAGTCTAGTCTAGTCTAGTAGATAGTCTAGTAGAGGAAATAACAGTCGCGGGTGAAACTAGTTGTTATACACCCATTGTAGTATTTTTTTCAGTATTTCAGTTTACAATTTGACAGTCTAGTACGATCACAAACTGGCACAGTTCGTGATCTCTCAGAGGCGTATAATACATTCATAATGCCCATATATGAGTAATACAAAAAATTGTAACATCTGCCAGTTTTAAACCTGTTGCGCAAGCTTGCGGGGCAAAGCAGGTGCAAACACATTCTGCCATGGTTTTTTAAGTCTCATATGCTATGGAAAAATTTGCGTTGGTAGTTTGTATTCTTAGGACCTGATTGTTAGACTCCACCTTAAGATCGGTTTGCAGTTCGAATCTTGACGTAATATAGTGTAATTAGTGTTCAAAAAAAGTTTTGGTTCGTCAATTTTATCTGATTAAATTATATGGATGAAAAAAAAAATAATTAAAAACCTACTTCAATGACATTTAATTGTTCACTTACGAAACACATAAAATAATTGTAAATGCATTTATATTCAACGCTTCTCCCGTAAATAAAAAAATCTATCTCTTTCCAGATAGGGTATTAGTGACAACAGACCACATGGTCGCAGAATACAAACCAACCAATGACAACCAAAATAATACTACGATAAGAAAATCTGATTTAGTGAGAGAATGGTGCGAGAAAACGAGTCTGGTTATGAACAAACTTTATCCAACGATATTCAGTGAAACATATAGTTTATTAGAAAACGAATCCGAACCTTGGAATATTGACACAACAAATCTGACGATCGATCTCAGTAAAGAACATAAACAGACTGCAAACGAAACGAATTACAGTTTCAAAACATGTTTATCGAATGACGTAGAAATAAGCGGAATCCAACGTCTGGAGCGAACAATCGATAAAACAAGCACACAAACAAAACAAAGATATAGCGTTTACGAAAACTTTTCCCTTCCCGGATCACCGAAGATTACACACAAGAATTATAATACAAAGACGAGTTTAAAGAAATCTAAAAGAAACGATGAACTTAGTAATAAAATGCAGAATTTGACATTGGAATCGAATATTTTAACGGATGACGCTTCTGTGTTAGATAAGGCTATGGCGGTTGTTCAGAATAGGACTAACGAATGGTTATCCAGCTGTAGTGATGTGTTGGAGACCAGAGCTTGTAATACCAGGAGATCATCAGCCAGCAGTGGTGTCAGCAGTAATTATTCTGGAGGCAATATAGTTATAGCTAATGTACATGAAGAGTACAAATATGAAGACAAAGATGAAGGTGTCATCTTGATTGAGAAACGATTACTTCTATCGCCGGTTGTGTGAGTATATTTTTTTGTTTTACCGCGGCTTGGTCGTCACAAATAATCATACTTAATTTGTACAATACTAGCTTTAGCCCGCGACTTCGTCCGCGTAGAATTAAAAAAAAAACAAAAGTTACTCATTTTGTGTTCTTCCAAACTATTCTCTACATCTGTACCAAATTTTATCGAAATCGGTTCAGCTGTTTAGGCTACAAACTCTAACAAACATCCATCCATCTAAATAGTAATTAGAATGATAGAGAAGATTGAATTTAGTGTTTGTAGCCTAAACTGCTGAACAGATGTCATGAAATTTGGCATAGTGAGGATAGTCTAGTCTAGTCTATTAGATAGTCTAGTAGAGGAAATAACAGTCGCGGGTGAAACTAGTTGTTATACACCCATTGTAGTATTTTTTCCAGTATTTCAGTTTACAATTTGTCAGTCTAGTAAAATCACAAACTTTTGCATTTATAATATTAGTATGATTGTAAATGCGAAAATTTAGATGGATGGATGTTTGTTAGAGTTTGTAGCCTAAACGGCTGAACGGATTTCAATGAAATTTAGTGTAGATATAGAGGATACTCTGGAATAACACAAAGGCTACTCGCTTTTGTTTATTTAAATTCCACGCGAACGGAATCGCGGGCGAAAGCTAGTGTAACATACTAGTAAAGTTCTTTTTCATTAAATGAAACGTTTTACATTTTAAAAAATATATGTTTTTCGTATGGATGTTGATTAAAATTCTCAAATGGTGAGAACTTTATAAATGAGAAAGTATATCATAATCCAGTTTTGATTCTCACATAAATCATAAATTACTGCAATCATTTCCTTCACTTTTGCAACTACCTTGCATCCTGTTGTCATTCAATTTGCATAATGTTACGAACTTGTTACACGTAAACCGTTAATGTGTTCCCATCGGAAATAGTTAAATTAAAGAAATATTTAATCCTTTAATAAATATGGTATTCGTAAATAAATAAGCCCCGTAAAACATTATTAAGATTTAGGGGATATCCAGTTCCTAACCTCTGGTCAAATATAATTGTTTCGACAGTAAACACCCTCGGTAAAGAAAAGCAGTAAATATGTGATTTTAAAAATAAAAGTGTGCTATAATTACGCCGTTTATCTCTAAACTCTACTTACACATCTAAATTACAGAAGTAACATTTGAGTTAACTGTTGACCGCGACTTCGTCCGCGTGAAATTAAAAAAAAAAACAAAAGGAAACAGCCTATGTGTGCTTCCAGACTATCCTCTACATCTATGCCAATCATCGAGATCCCTTCAGTAATTTAAGCTACAAACTCTAACAAACATCCATCCATCTAAACATACGCATTTATAACATTAGTAACATATTTTATGTTTATGATGTACTAGCTTTCGCCCGCGACTCCGTCTGCGTGGAATTAAAAAAAAAACAAAAGTCAGTAGCCTGTGTGTTCTTCCAGACTATCCTCTACATCTATACCAAATTTCATCGAAATCTGTTCAGCCGTTTAGGCTACAAACTCTAACAAACATCCATCCATCCATCTAAACTTTCGCATTTATAATATTAGTATGATGTATTTTGTACAGTTTGCCGGTCGATGAGGTAGAAATGACGACCCCAGATCAAACCATTATGTCGGTCGCGTCCTCCCTGCCCTCCACAATGGACTATGACGTCAACACTCTCAGGTCCGAGCTCATGAAGCTAGGCTTCACTCCAGGACCTATACACGAAAGTACTAAAACCTTATATCTGAAAAAGTTACAAACACTAAAGAAAACGCCGACCGTTCTCACCAAAGAGGGAAAAAGTAAGTCATATTTTTTTTAAATGTTATTTGTCAAAATGCCTGTCATATTTGATTTATACATTTTATGATTTATTTACTTTAGTTGTATTTTAGATAATTATTTATTTTAAAATGCTTTTACGTACCTTAAAATTTACAGTTAAATTTGGAAAATACAATTTAAGAGGTCTTAAAATTATTTGTAATTTATACATATGTACATTTTTATATAAATAACATTTAATTGCAGCTTACAGTGTGGAATTACAAAAATCTATTAAATCCGTGGATTGGTTGAATGATTTATCTCCTTACATTGAGTTGGAGAAAAAGGCTCGAGCGGATTTCGCAAATCCCAGTAAGAAATGGCGCGAGGGCACAACGAAAACCTCGTTTACTTATCTCCTGTTGGACCCAAGACTTACTGACAATTTACCACTTAAAGCTAATAAACAAAATTCTCATGAACTATGGGGAACTTTTGTCAATTCCATATTTTATGTTGGAAAAGGTTAGTAATATGTTTGTATTTTTTAAAGTAAATCTTACTAATAATCTAAATGCGAAAGTTTAGATGGATGGATATTTGTTAGAGTTTGTAGCCTAAACTGCTGGAGGGATTCCGATGAAATCTGGCATAGGCAAAGAGGATAGTCTGGAAAAACACATAGCTACTATTTTTTTTTTTAATTGCACGTGGACGGAGTCGCGGGCTAAAGCTAGAAACATGTAAAAGGAGGTACCAGGATACCAGAAGATCGAGTTTGCAGTTTTAACCCTTAAATGCATGATTTTTCTTTTTAAATACCATAAATTGAACATAGATGGAAATAAAGGAAAAAAAAACGGTTTTTTTTCTCAAAAGAGTTTATGTAAGGAAGAAAAGACTGATGTATAAATGCTCTTAACGTGCCTAGCCTATTACAGTAATTATATACAATAATTTATTTTTGGTAGTATTTCAAATCAAAAACTTGGGAAAATCAAGTTTTTATATTACTAAACTGAAGTTTTATTTTATTACTTATTTTTTTTAATACCACGCGGACGGAGTCACGGGCGAAAGCTAGTAATACGTATAATGTTCTTAACATTGCAGGTAAACGTTCAAGACCGTACTCACATTTATATCAAGCACTTACATTATGGAAGAGAGATTTTAAAACCTCCAATGACAAAAAGGTTCAGCAGATTTTAGACATTTGGTCGGACAAAGTTGGTGTTATTTGTCTTCATATATTCCAAAATGTGATTCCCGCTGAGGCGTTTACTTACGAAGCTGCTATGATCGATGTACTAGGGTTGCAGAACTTGAAGAATGTAAAGAGTGGGAATTACTACGGAGTTACAGCTTCCTGGCCTCTTAAAGAACGAAAGATGCTCGGTCTTTACCTCTTATACAAGGCTATGCAAATATTCCTCACCGAGGGAGAGAGGCAATTGAGACCGGACGATATAGACTGACTCTATATTTATTTTAAATATATTTTATATAATAAAGATACAGTATTATTTTGTTTAGGTATTCTATGAACTTGCCGTAATTGTGTTTTATTTGATACTAATGATTATTTGGTATGTTTTCTTTTCATATTTCGAGTTTAATTTGGAAGCATTTCTGTATATACAGCCAAAGATATTGTGTCCTTTTATTAAAACCTTGCACTGAATTTTACCAATATTTGTATTTTTAACTTAGTTTTCGTCTTTTGACTTTAACATTAAGCTTTAACTTTATTTATAAACTGTCTCCAGTAATTTTAAGTTACCATAAAACAAATGAATTTTAACATTATTATTACCTAGTCAATTTTACTAAATTTACTAATTTTAGCGCGTAACTATAGTTGTAAGCGTCCAAAATTATGTATAAGGTATTTACGAAAATAAAACACAATGCTAAGAAATAATTTATTTTTATTTCGTTTTTTAACGTCTCCAATTCTCTTCTAAGAAAAATCAAACTGATTTTAGTTACATCAAAACAATACACAAATTTGATATACACAATAGATACAAGACGAAGAGGCGACGCGACAAGCTGTGCTACAGCCACACACCTGTCACGATAAGCTGGTGACAGCGACACGCACCTGTCGCGACAAGCTGTATGCCAGTGTTACACGCCTGTCGCGACAAGCTGCATGCCAGTTTCACACGCCTGTCGCGACAAGCTGTGTGCCAGCGACACACCTGACGCGTCAGGTTCGCATCCAATGATTAAAAAGAAAACGATCAGTCTATGTTTATATTCCGTCGAGGATAGACGAGCGCTGCGTGAGATCATGTTAGTCATACACGCTCCCACAACATTCATACAACAACATTAGTACAATATTATAAGTGCAGTATTCGCAGAGCATACACAAAAACATTAAAAACCACTTTAATCTTTCACTTGGTTTATACTGATGATAAAAGTTAACTCTTTGTCCTTGATATAATTAGGTAGGAAAATATATGAAGGAATAATAGAAAAATAAGATTCTAAAACTTTCGTAAAATACGTCTTTCTTCAACTTTGAACTCGGGGATTTTTTGATGATATAAAAGTGCCAGTATTAGTTGAACAAATATTGACCTCTTATTATTTTTAAACATTGTGAATATTCATAAATTAAAAAAGGAACGATTATGAGACAGTTTACTTTAAAAGTTATAGAAAGCCAATTAAAAATTTTTGTGTATACTCCGTGAAAGACATTACACACAAAATTATACCATTCTTTGAAGGTACTTTTTACATAATCTATTTTAGTTCAATTATTGAACAACAAAATAAGTAGAATTTGCGAGAAATTGTACAATTCAATTAAAACTTTACAATAAATAAAAACAGAAAGCCGCCTGCATCTAAATAAAATTTTATTTACTGTATCACAAAATGTTCAAAAACAATTCTCGCATTGACTAAATAAAAATGGAGCTGAAAATTAAGTCTCGGTTTTAGCAATTATAATTCTTAATGCTTACACAATAAGATTTAAAATAGCCGATCTCAAACATTTTTTAACCAAATATCGACTTAGCTTAGGATAACAGTTTGTACTGAAGAAGCTCTAACTGTTTCAATTTTTATATAAACATAGTGTAGGCAGTCGCACATTACTTTGGATAAAAACAATACAATTTTAATATTTAAATAATTGTACTATCGTAAAACAAAATGTCACTGGTTTCCAGTTGTCAGAATGAATATTTTTTATATAACTTAGGCCCTTCTATAAATCTATAAATCGGTTTTGTTAAGAAACAGGTACGTTCGTACATTGAATAAAATGTAATTAAATTATAGAAAATATCTCTACAAATTATTTGTTGATCTAAATTGAAGTTTTTTACTACTTTTTTTTTACAATCCCATAAAATACAATTGTGTTTTTACAGGGTGAATACGCATTAGTTACGGCTTTTTAGTTCAATATTCAAAGTGAAAAATGTAGACATAAAATATTGCAAGAGTCGTATGAAATTGCCGACAGGAAGACATTGTATGAAATGTTACACCCACACACAGAAGGGGATAGAAGAAGTCCTAACACAAACATTAAATAGTAAATAACCGGCCTTATCTAGCGTGCTTCAGTGCGGGCTCGGGAGTCTATCAGAATATCGGAATAAAATTTCGTTTACAATTATTATAAGCCAGACATACATTACGCCAGATATTCAAACACTCCACGATTCTATAGGATGCTCTACGTTATATAAATTTCCTCATTACAATCGAGACAGAGTACGATTTGTGCACACTACGACTCATTGATCACATTGACGCCTTCAAACTTACACTACCTTAACTATAGCAATTAACATTATAATTAAAAACTAAGCTTGCTTTTGTTATCTTGTGGAATGCTATCATTTAGATAATCTCACTGCAACGGATCATTGAGACATCTAACAGCGAGCTTGCAATCAGTACGATGCCCGAGAGGGAGGAATAAAATTCGATGTTTATATTACAAATAACTGCATTGGATTCTATGTAAGGGAATTTACACATAAAACTAATATGTACAAAACTAGTTTGTGCTTTCACTAGTTAACATATAAAAACAGGTTCCAGTGGGGACAGCGAGTGAGAAACGTCCAACTGCGTCCAATAACATAACCAATGTCCATCAGGAAGTCCACACAACACTATACTTCAGGTAACTATCGGTTCACACACCTAACATTCAAAGCGCACGTCACATCTACACTCGTGTTTGAATTACGCGAAATCACAGAGTTTAATTATGGCTACGGATTGTCGACCGGAGTGTCAAGGTCAGTTCTGTCACTTCACGGCACTTGCACTATGTCACTATCGGTGAGTTAAACGTCAGGGGCGCTGCTGCGCGGCGCGGC